AATAAATGTCAGTATTCAGTAGAATATTTTAATGTCAAGGGAAAATGCTGATGATCTATTGCTAAGCATTAAAAGCTGGTTACAAATGATGTGCCTTAGATGACCCAAGTCTATAAAAAAGTAGATAGAAAAGAAAGGAGCCGGGCGTTGGTGGTGCTTGCCTTTAATCCCAGCACTTGGGAGGCAGAGCCAGGCGGATCTCTGTGAGTTCGAGGCCAGCCTGGGCTACCAAGTGAGTTCCAGGAAAGGCGCAAAGCTACACAGAGAAACCCTGTCTCGAAAAAAAAAAAAAAAAAAAAAAAAAAAAAAAAAAAAAAAAGAAAGGACTGAAATGTGAGGAAAGTTGTAATAGTGTTTGTCCTTGGTAAATGGAAAAATTTATTTTTAAAAATTATAATTTTACAACTTACTGAAATTTTCATCTTTTCCCTTGCAAAATCATATAGAACATTTAGAAGGAAAGAAAATGATGCATTAAAATTTTTCTGACTCTTCTCTCCTTCCTCCAAATTTGAGATTCATCTGTTTTAGCATCATGCATGGTACAGATTTCCAGAGACATTTCAGTGGCATTATTAGATTGCTGCTGTTCTCTCAAAAGTGCCCAGGGAGGTGGCTCAGTCCAGACTGTCATCCCAACAGCCCCATGCATCCTTCTATAAAGTTCCTGGCTACTGTGGAGGCCGACTTTATGGGTTCAGTGGACTACTGAGGTCTAGCTTCAATGAATCACCTCTTTATCTGTGACCAACCTTCTGGGCCTGCTCAACTCTGTGGTTCCCAACAGAAGTGTAGGGAGCTTGGGTGGGCAGAGGGGAGAAGTCTTGGGATAATTTCAGAGGGGATCAGAGTTCCAATGCTGAAGTAGGGGCTTTCCAGAAGGGATCTATCACCCCATGGAATGTTACCCAGGGAAGTAAGTGAGCATATTGTGAGGCCCAAAATGTCCCCAAGATGGAACTGCCAGCTGGCTCCTAGGAATGGAGGGACAGGCATATTCCTGAGTGCCCACTAGGTGGCAGGCCCTTTCCTGCCCTGAGTCCTTATGAGTCTCTCAAAGGCTTGGGGACACTGGTCTAAAGGGTTACTAGAAGGGACAGTTGAAACACAGATTCTAGGATCCATTCCATCTCTAGGCTCTCCAACTCAAAGGTCCAGCTGGGACCTCACATTCTTCTTTCTCTTTTCTTTTAGTCCTTCTTTTAGTAAAAGTCTCACTATGTGGTCCAAGCTGGCCTCCAGCTCACTGTCCTCCTCCTCCTTTAGCGCTGCATTTGGAGTGCTGGGGTTTCACAGCGAATCACCACACCCAGCTCAGACTCTCATTTCTAACAGCTGCTGGAACTCCTGTTAGTACCGCTCTCTGGGGTGCACATTTTGAGCCCAGGATAAGTCAACGTGGGTTCTGGGAAGGAAAGGAGGAGGTGGTATAGTTCCTGACACAGAATGTGAGGGCCTCTAGAGCTGGAGTCACCCGCCAGGCCACTTAGCATGAATGCAGCTAGTAAAGTTCTCATATGCGCTGCTTAAAATATGAGCTAGGAACCCTAAATAAGCTTCAAACAAAATGCATTTGAGAGGATTACACATATCAGTCAACAATTCTCAAATGATTTGAAGTAAGGGTATGAAGTAACCCCACCCATCAGACCAATGTATTCCTTTTCATGCTTAAGACGTTGGCACAGTTCTGGCCACAGGTGACTGATCAGGCAAGTCTGACAGTACCAAACTGGTCTGTGTCTGGCTCAGGGTGTGGCAGCCATTGATGAGGCATCTGGATTGTGGGTGATGATAAGGTGCTGTGAAGGTTTCTGAAGCTGGTTCTCCATTTCTCACCTTGCATCAGCAGAGAGTGACAATGATCAGTTTGCAGCCCACAAACCACGCATGAAAGTATTCTGGTCTAGCTTTGGGAGATTACCGATTTGGGGATGGGCTTGTTGTGCGGCCTCAAGCAGCCAATTTATTGTTTTGAATTGCTGAACCACAAGTTAAATTTGTATATGGTTCAAGGTCATTTGGTTCTTATCAGTTACTGCTGGGGTGCTTGGAAGGAGGCTAATCGAATGTTCCTTTGGCTCAAATGCTCTTTCTTCATGCTTAGACATCAAGCGTAATGTCCTGGACACAGTAGGCCCTGTACAAACACTAGAAAATAAATGCAGATAAGAGTAGGCCAGGACGTCAACCGTTTTCAGGGTGGTGGCCAGCCAGGAAGAAAATGCCCAGTACAAACGGCCCTCAGACAACACTTTCTTTATGGACTTTATAGACACAGCAGATCAATGGAGCCAACAGAGAAGAACCAACTCCCAAGGGAATGTAGGCCTCACTCGTCAGTGTGCTAAGACGTGAGGGAAATTCACTTCAGTAGATTCTTGGGCTTTGTGACTCAGGCCACTTGGGTGTCATTTCCATGCTGAATCAGGACACTGTTGTATGCCCAGGTCAAAGTGAGCCTTGGTGGTATCTCTGGAAACCTCACAAAGTTTGCCTCCCTTGTTTTTCTTTCACTACCAGAATAACGGACACGCACTTGGATGATTTAGGAAGAGCTGGAAGCTGATCTGAGCTTCATAAAACAACCCACCTCCCCACCCTCACCTGTTCAACTCCCCCAGCTCCATTCCTTGCTGGGCTACTCAAGGAATTTATGTGACTTAGGATGTACAGCCAATAAGAATCATCACCGGAAAAATGGGAGCTGCTATTTAAAGGGCACTGCAAGTCAGGTACTGTGCTGAATGTTTAAGTACATTATATTAGGTAGTTTTTTTTATCAACCTAACATTTATATAAGTTTGCTCTAAACATACAGTGGGAAGGCTGGTATCCTAGTCCAAATGTGTCAATCTCAAAATGTTGCGCAGCCATTTTTCTGTGGAGTCTTATACCCAAAGACTGTAACTTGTCTGTTTATCTTTTCTTTTTTTGAAGGTGTCTCATATTTAGCTTTAGTTAGCCCCAGACTTGCTATCCTTCTGCCTCAGCATCCTGTGTGCTGGAACTCCCACCCCCTTTTACTTTCAAGGTATTTCAACAAACTGAAAGTTTAGTGTTTAGAACTCTACATATCTAAGAACAAAATTCCTCATAATAGGGACAGCGCTCTGTGAAGGAATGTGTTTGGGTCCCAGTTGTGAAGGAGTCAAATTCAGTTCACTATGTTCTTAAATCATGAGGATGTTGGCATTTCACTATAAATCAAAGACAGACAAGGTTTTACTGCAACCTATAAAATCTGAAGATACAATCTGCTTGTAAATCTAAGTTGTAGTTCAAGTAAATATGCATGTACACACCCACTCACACGTGGAGACTCACCTGTTTTACATCCCCACTTCTTTGAAAAAAAATCTTATTTTGCCATTTTTCTAAATACCCTTTTCAAAATCTCAAAGTCTCTCCTAGAAATGGCTGCATAAACAAGACTGTAATAATGGCTAGACCAATGGGCATATTAAGGTGGAAGGTGGAAATTTCACAGGGTCCCACCCCTGGACAAAGAACTACAGGCAACTAATGATTCCAGAGAGAGAATTAGCCTCTCCCAAGTATGAACCCCTTATTGGTTGTGCAGTGCAGAGCGGTCAGCCCTGAAACAATAGGTCTGCAAACAACAAAACAGACCCAGCAGGTTGCATTTATGTATTTGTGCATACACATACACACATGCATATGTATGTATGTCACAATAATAATCAAAGAAAAAGGAGCCATCAAGTTGAGAGTAGGATGGGGCACATGGGAGATGTTGAAGGGAGAGTGCCTGGGAGGAAGTAGAAGGAGGAGAAGGAGGGGGAGGTAGTGTAATTCTATTTCAATTTAAAGCATTTAAAAAAACCATTTAATCTTCTAATAATCAACACAGAAGTTCAAGTATCACCTCTCAAAAGGAACATGGTATTCCTGCCTGTGCTCCAATCAGAGCTGAGGATGCGATCTTCGGATAATGCATTTCAAGGGAAAACATCCACCTCAGAAATTGGATCTTTCTGAGTAAACTGGAAGTTATGGAGGTTCTGAAGTGTTTCCAGAAAGTCAGGAAGACCTGGGTTCTTATTCGTGAGTGATAAGTGTAACTGTGGCTTATGTTCAAGACAGGGCAGTGCTATGCTTCTTCATGGCTCATCCTTTATTCTGTATCGATACATTGTTATTTGATTGTGAGATTTTCAATTTTCAAACAGACAATTTAAACTTTACCACAAGTAAAAACCAAAAGGCCAATCATGATCTTTTTAGCTTTTAGGCTCTCAACTGGAAACGAATGGGTAGTTACAAGAACTTGGACACTTACAGACACAGGCTGCTTTAAGAAGCAAAGATTTTGGGCAACCCTAAGACCATAACGCGATCAGCATGGAAGACATCTGTCAGGTGGGGTGGCCTGAGGTGACAGCAGCTAAGTCTTATGTGATCAGGAACCTGGGCAGCTTTGGCTGGTTTTGCTTCCCCTCTTGAGGTGACTATCTCCTCCTTCATGAGGTGACAACTGCCTAACACCCTAATCTTCTCTCCATGACCATGACACAGGATTTAGTGACCACAAGACATGTTAAAATCTCCCTGTCAAGCATGAATTGTCTATGTAGGTTAAAGGCAGGCATCGAAATCCCGTTAGCTACTGGTGCAGCTGGGATAAGAAACATATGCACACGCACACACTCAGAAACACACCACAAAACAAGTAGTTACGAAAGCAGCAATGTCTGTTTCCACTCAGATGGAAGTAGAATTAAAGATCAAATTAACAACACATTTGCTCCTTAAATAAATAAAAGGGATCTCTCCTCCAGTGTTGGGGTATGGCATGAAGTGCTTGCCTTAGGATCCTGCTTGTTTATTTATGCTTAAAAGAAAATTAGAGGATGAAGACAACATGGAGGATCAGCCAGGGAAACACACTGACACTAGGCAGGTGAAGAAATGGAGGAGGAGCACCACCCTGGAAGAGATGCAGACGTGTGGTAATGGTCTAGTAGGAAGTGGGTTACCTTTACATTTCTTCTCTTCGGTCTGGAAGGTCTGGGCACTTGAGACGCTCTGATCGTTCACATCGTCAGGATCCAGATGGAATATAGAACTTGTCCAAGTGGCCTGGATGAGGTGTGGGGATGCTTGCTCATCCTTCAGTGCACCGCGCCTCTCCACATGGCTCTTCCTGTGCAGGCAGGCTTCGGACATTCCTACGAGCTTCCAGTCCTGTCCTCGCTCTGGACGGGGCTTCTGTTTGTCCCAGGCTGGAAGGCCATTTTCTGGTGGGAGGGGAGTGAAAACGTGAGATAACAGACTGTAGGTATTGTCAAGGTTTTGCTGAGATTGTGTGTCTTGGAAGCCAGTTGCTGCTCCGTCCTTTTGGGCTGACACTGTTCCCATGCACCTCCACTATGATGTCAGGACATGCTGAGGCTGTTAGCGCTGGGCACAGAGCCACCGAAGCTGGATGGCCTGTTGGAGTAACCAACACAATTACCCCCTCTCCGTTTCCCCAGCTTTTCCACAGCAAGGCTCTACTAGTCTCACCACTAGAGAAGCAGCCCAAGAGCAAGCTGATACTGGTTTATATCACTGCTTAGATGACCATTTGAGGTCTTAGGAGTCAGGGCTGGCCATGACCTTAGGTCGGATCCTTAGGATATAGCACATCCGGGATGTAGCCTCGTTTGACTTGGGTTTTATCACAGACTGACCTGAGGGACATTGGGCACACTCAAGTGGCCACACTGAGACTGATAAGCTGCCATTCTTACTATTTTCTACTCTTATGGCAAAACTAAGGGAACAGGAAGGAGCCACCATCAACAAAACACAGCATGGAGCAGCAACAGCCCCCAAGCCTAGATCCAGATCATTCACATGGAAGTTCTGAGTTCAATGGAGCCCCAAATGGGCCATGAAATCACATAAAGGTCATGCTTCCTCTGTATGCCAAAGACAGAAGGATGAGCCTGGATCTCTCAGGTTGGGTACCAGAAAGCTAATATTTTATTGTTTTTGAGTTCGGTCTATGGTGTTTGTAGGCCTGTTCTCTAGAATGGGCAAAAATAGAATAATATAACGAATTTTTTACTGAGAAGCATCTTCTCTATTGACAATTTTCACCTTATTCAATGTCTTTACTATATAGGAAGATAAAGTAGAGGACAAAAATAATAAGAACACACACTCACACATCACATACATACTACACATACACTTATACCACACATTCACACACACACACTGCACACACACAACACACTCACATTCACACACATCATACACTCACACTCATACATACCACACACTGACACTTACATGCATATACCATACACACACACTCACAGTCACACACACACACTCACATGCACACACCACACACTCACACGTGCAAAGTACAACCTACTTGGTCACCTGTTTCCAGAAATTCTTAGCAGCTATATGTCAGAATTAGGAATACTACAATTTATAAATGAAGTTTTCAAATTCTAATTTTTTGGTAGTGCTGGGTGATTGAACCCAGGGCCTTGTACATGTCAGGCTAGTGTTTCATCACTTGGGCACATCCTTTCTGGGTGAATTTTCTGTTATGCTGAAGTTAACAAAAGGCCACAGTTGAATCCCTGGTGCTTACCAGGACCAATCCATCTGGGCTTGTGCCTTGGCATGGGAGATTTGTCAAATTGTTTAATAAAAGAGTTAGGCATTCTTTGGGTTTCTAGAGCACTCTTCCTGAAGCTACCAGAACCTTAAGCTAAGATAGTCTGGATGGTTGATCTGGAAGCATCAGCTGTCAGAAGTCACTTTTGGAAGTAATGGTTCCCGTTCTGAGTCTCATGTTTTCAGACCCATGCACACTCAAATTTCTGATCCAGGAGAATGCAAATGACCACTGAGTAGGGATCTGCACAGGATTTCTTTTCTTTCTTTCTTTTTGAAAAAGATTTATTTTAGTTTTATTGGTGTGTGCTCCCTCTCTCTATATATACCTGTGTGTGTGTGTGTGTGTGTGTGTGTGTGTGTGTGTGTGTGTGTTTACAAGTGTGTATGCAAAGTGCCTGCAGAGCCCAAAAGGCCTCATCAGATTGGCTAGAGCTAGAGTTGTGAGCCTCCTGATGTGGGTGCTGAGAATCAAACTCATGTCTTTTGGAAGGGTAGGAACCAGCCCTCTGAACTGCTGAGCTGTCTCTCTAGCCCCCAGAACAGGATTTCTTTGCCTAATATATGGAAGTGCTGTGGCTTGAAGTGAATCCTGAATCCTGTAGGAGAATGCCACTATGTGCTGGGTTTTGGGTTGTACCAATTGCTTTGGAATTCTCCACACTTAGGATTGTGTGAGCCATTGCACTGGGCAGGTTAAGCAAACACAGTGCTTTTGTCTCTGGGTTTATAAGGTATTGCTCATTGCATGGTGAATCAACTCTTCCACTTTCCAAGCATGCCCACCACTGGTGCAATTACAGCCACTTATTCCCACTGTCCGTTGACAGGAAACAACAGGTTGAGATCTTCAAGATTGTATTGCATTTCAAACTAAATATCTGTGTAGAGTTCACTCAAGAACCTATCATCCACGAGGGTTTAAGTTTCTTGTGAGCTAATTACTAGTGGCTGCAGACAAAGGTTAATCGTGGGCCTGGAGAGACTCACTGTACTCCCACAGATACAGGCAAGCTCACCCATGCATGTTTCTGCTCTTCCCATTTTATTTTCAGAGAATATATCCCCCAGCAAATTGTATCCTGTAAAGTTCAACTTAAACTTCCCAGAGGATTTTTAACATATGATATTTTTGCACTAATTTCTAAAAGCTGGTAGTAATTCCCTAGCCCTAACAAAAAATGCAGAAATTGGGCAGTTGCTATTCCTTATTGAATCTGGGTCTCAGATGAAAGATGTGTAAGGACTATGCACACAACAGGACATTCTGTGTCAAAGTAGAGCCCATTAAAACTTGTTCTGCATGTCCCTTGGGCCAGCAAGAGGGGGTTTCCTCTAGTAAGGCTGGCTATGTTTGGGGTAAGGTAAGCGATAGGATTGCCTTCCACTTTCCTAAGAAAAACACTTGAGATGGTTTAGGTAAAGGGCTCCATTCACAGGAGGCATTTACAAGTTCATAATTGCTGTCTGCAATTACATTCAAAATAATGATATTCAGTTGCTTAATTGGCAGGTTTATGGGATACACAGTGCTGGGAAAACTGGAGACTGAGAAACCCTGGCTGGCCCATAGGAAAATGCAATAGGAATTTCTTTAAAGAGAATACTTGATTCTTATCCACTTAAGCGCAGGGGAATACGAACAATTCTTACTCCATTCCCAAGGAAGGAGGGGGGCACCCATGGTGCCAGCTCCATAAATCCTACTTATTGGTGTGTGTTCAGTGATGAGAACTACAAGCTCTACACATACGCAGCTGGCAAACCGTCTTTGAGATTTTTTCCCTATTACTATACCCTGTGTCCCTCTCCTTCCACTCCCCCAAAGCTCATTTCTTTTTAGAGGAATCAACATGCTAAAGAGAGTCAGTTGGTGACTCCCAACCCTTGGCAGCTATCAGAATCACCACAGGTGCTAATCACAGCACTGAAGACCCAGTTTTTAAAATTGGGCCAGGGCCTCAGCATGGATAATTCTGCTAAGTTCTTCAGGTGACTGAGATAACCAACAGAGCCTGAGATCCAAAGGACTGAGATAAATTTAAGGTAATAAAACAAATTATTGGCATTTGGGGAATAAATTGTATATTCTCTCAGCCTCTAATGTTTTACACATCTTTAGATAATGTTTCAGATAGTTTTTATTGTCAAGTTGACACAACGTAGTCATTTGAGAAGGAGGAACCTCAATTGAAGAACCGCCCTTTTCGAATTGACCTGTGGCCATGTCTGTGAGAGATTGTCTTGCTTGATGACTGATGTGGGAGGGCACTGTGGGCATCACTATCTCTAGGTAGGCACGGCATGCTGTCTGAGCATGAACCAGTTGGTGGGCCAGGAAGCAGCATTCCTCCATTGTTTCTGCTTGGGTTCCTGTCCTGACTTCCCTCAGTATTGGGCTGTAACCTGGAAATACGAGGTATACTAAACTCTTTTGTCCCCTAAGTTGCTTCTGATCCTGTTGTTTAGTACAGTCGCAGACAGAAAACTAGGTAGTGAAGACTTGTATTCTCATTCACAAATCCCCCAGCTGTTGTTGGGTCTTCTGAGTGAAGCCCTGAACATCAGGCACTGGTTGGATATCATCCTGAAGATGCAGGTATGGATGTAAGTAGGTATTTATTCAAAGAGAATGCTTGGGATGTTATCTGGAATACACTGCTCATAGTGGTAGAAATCAATTTTTTAAAGGCCCAGGGATGTAACTCAGTTGGTAGAGTGCATGCCTAGCACACACAAAGCTCTGGGTTCAATCCTCACAGTCACACTTACAAGACATAGTAGCATATATCTCAGCAACAGATGCAGACAAGAGGATCAGAATGTCAAGGATCAAGGTCATCCTCGGCTACACAGAGAGTTGGAGGCCAGTCAGGCCTACATGAGACTCTGTCTCAAAAGAGGGAGGGGTCAGTTCTTTGCTTAGCATTCATAAGGACCCAGGTTTGAGTTAAAAAAGGGGAAGATCCTATAAATAACCATATCTTATTAGTCATGAGATATAAACCATTTGTTCTTAGCTGATATCTGGCTTTTAACACAGCATTCTATACAAAAAAGAGTTAATCAATATAATTTGTCAGTTATGATACAAATTGATAGATGGAATAAAAGAAAACAGCTAGCTGGGACATGTGAATTAACACAAGAGAAACACGCTCCTGGTTTTCTCAAGGGAGTTTAGACACAAATAATTGAATCTGCATTTCATGTCTGCCATTCTAATGACTTTGAGTGCCATAATACTGAACTACATGGTCTTCAGCAAAAGAGAAATGAGCATAAACCTCAATAACTTAACCACCTACATCTTATCTCTGGAAATGATAAGAGGTGATGGAAAATAAATCTGTCTGTCAAGGAAGGGAAATTATACTAAAATATTCAAGTATTTCAGGACACAAAGGCCAGTTGATATCTTAGAAAGGAACTAAAGTAAAGGAAATAAGATTATGACCAAATGGCCAGAAGGGTCATCTGAGTAGGCTGGGAGTTCCTATCACTCATTCAGAAAGTGTTTAGCTTATATTAAAAGGCCATTGATATCAGGCACTGAGTCAGAGGGCACATGTATAACATGATCTGAAAACAACCCAGTTGTTCCGTTAAAACTGTT